ATAAAAGCCATCAAAATCGTTCTGTTTTGATACTTTATGTCATTGTATTTCAGATATATGAATAGATGCAAATAAAATAAATGATGTTATCTACTCAGATTTATGTGTATTTGTGGGGATCATTTCAGAGTGCTGAAATTCTAGAAATGCAAAAACTATAGGAAAAAAAACACTGCTTGCTGAAATAAGATTTACACAGTGGTGGCATCAAATGTAGTACAAACAGACCTGATACAGAAGAAAGTCGGCTGAGGAAGACTGCTCAAGGAAAAAACTTCAGTAAAGGTCGTGTCCTCAGTAACTCCTGTTACGAAAATACATTGAATATGAAAATACAAAGCAGTAACAAATGTGCAGGATTTGTTTTATTCCTTTGCAGTCAATGATTCGTTTTATTTTAATTTGATGGGCCTTTCTTGTGTTTTTTTTAAAACATTTATTTATTTATTTATTTAATTTTTTCTAATGAGCGTAAACATTTACCATGTTTGGCTGGTGGAATCGCATGTTATGATCTCAGTATTTCTAAATTCCTGGCTACGTCATGCTTTAAGGTGAGTAATTACAATGAACAAGTCACGGTATAATTTCCCCAAATGTATCATTGATTCTATAGACTACATATCTGGTGTTAACAGTGATCTCACAGAGTTCACACACGTGCTAGCTGTGATATTGTGTGTTGAAAAGATGTAAGTTTGTTTAGTATTTAAGAGTGAGGCACTGTGACTGGGGCACGTGCACAATATAAAAGCCAATTCAGCGCGCGCATGGTAGTTCAATTAGCTAAAGATGATCAGAGAAATACAGCAGGTAAGGGTTTGAATAATAGAAACAACGTCTGTACGTGTTAAAAGTATTGTCTACTAATTCACAGTTAATCTCTGCTCGTAGTTATTTATAAAAATGACCACTCAGCTAATGTTTGAAGCCAGCTAGCATATAGTTAGCTGTAGCTTTAGCTTTAGCTAAACCAGGTGTTTTTAATTACCTCTTCAGGCGCTGAGGTTGATCATGCTATTGGAAAAACAGAGACGGCATCCTGGTTTAAACAATGCGCGAGGGCTTCTGGTACTTCTGTGGACGGACACGGGAGCAAGTATGAACTGCACTGGTAAGTTTAAAAAAAACAGTTCATCAGGAGGAACTAGCAGCGAATAAAAGGGCCTCAAAGTAGAGTGACATTATCCAAATCAAATGTAATAAACATAAACTCGTGTTTATTCTGACAGGGAAAAAGCTACAACGCTCCATATGAACAGTTCCAATAGCAGTGTGATACATTTTATATTGTTTCAATCAAATATAGCAAAGCTAACGTTAGTGACCATCCGTATAGAAGTATATTAATATTTCAGATAGATATGGTGAAAACACACTTAATACATCACACTCTGAATATCAGAGGAATCTGAGAATAAATGTGCAATCCACCCAAAACAGAAACTGATCACCACAATACAAATATGTGATTAATTGGTCACACCTGTAGGGATGCATTTAGATTCATTTCCACATTTCACTTGATTATTGCTGTAAATAAAACTACTTTATGGACGAAGGAATGTGACTGTTGCCAGCAGCTGTTAGGCTTTCTCGGACGTAGTGTGTACAGCAAGTGTCGTAACATTGTTCACATTTGCGGTGCAGTTGCAGCTGCTGGTCCCTGGTGCACAGGGATTGAAATGAAAGCACTCCAACCTGGTATGTACACACGTACACCTAACACAATCGCATATCTTCAGCTGTTGAACATCACCTCCTTTTACCAACTTCAGCCCTCACAGATTTGAAGGAGAGCATGTTTGCCTGTACGTGGTCGTGTCCTCAGCCGGATCCCGAGGAACTGTGTGCCTTCACCGACACGTATGGTTCTCTCAGATTGCTCCTGTCTTTTCAGGTACAACCCACAGGGATCCTTTACTGCAATCACTGACCGCCTCAGCATTGTTTTCATCTCACTAAGTAACGTATCTGGGTGGGATGATGATAGATGATCACAGTGAGTGAATATCATCTCTGTCTATATCTCTGCACTGTACAGATGAAAGAGGCAAGACTGTTAATTCCAGAGTGGTGCGCTCGCATAGAGGTGTTCCTACACTCGTTCAGCTCGGCTAACGCAAGGGTAGGAGAGGTTTCCACAATATGATTCCACCATATGTTTTGTGTTTTTAAATTGGCAGTAATCATTTTACTGCCCTTCTTTTTCACAGATCAAAATCCACTTTAAATTCAAATTCAGTCAGCAGAGCGTCCAGCGAGACTTTAGGTATGCATGCAGGCAACGCCTACGCTTTCTTTTTAGGTAGATTTGGTAAATTCCCCTCTTGTTAGATGACAACACTGCTCGATATATTCTGCAAGGATTCATTTAGTCACGCTGTATTACACAGCATTTATCTATTTTGTTTCATAACGTATGCATTATATAAAGTAACTTATTTAAGTTGCTATGTTTTTGACTTTAGGATTGAGAGCATAACAAAAAACACTAAATCTGACGAATGTTAAAACCCCTCAGTCCTGTTTTTAAGAAGTGCTAACATGTTCATATTCTTGCAGAGTGAATATTGTGAGAAAAGTTGCCTGTGCGAACCGACCATCACTGATCTTGGATGTCACATGTAAAACACAGTCAGTTAAGCTCTTGTTCAGCATTATTTCATGTGTAGTTGATGTGTGGATCAATTCTGTCTTAGTTTGCGGATGTGTAACCAAAATAACTTTATTTTCATCTATTAATGCAACAAAAACACGGGTATGTCCACTGTTGTTTATAGAGTGTCTCTCTCTCTCTCTCTCTCTCTCTCTCTCTCTCTCTCTCTCTCTCT